AGTCGGTTCCGACCCATAGCGACCCTGTAGCCATCACATTAGGAGTGAGTTAATTACATGTTTAACCAAATACAGCAGGCTAATTTTTAAGTTGATAATTTTGTATGGCTCGCGAATGATGCTATAAATTTTGCAAGAAAAAAGGTCCCCATTCCTGCTATATAGGGTTGCTAGGAGTTGGAACCAATTTAGTGGTATATAACAACTCTCCAAGGAGAAGTGTTGGTGGTGCAGTGATTCAGCACTGGCCTGCTAACCAGAAGGTTGGTGGTTTGAATCTACCAGCCACCCTGTGGGAGAGCGTGGAGGCAGTCTGCTTCCATGGAGATTTACGGCGTTGAACACCATAGGGGGCAGTTCTATTCAGTCCCACAGGGTTACTGTGAGTAGAACCAACTTGGGTTTGGATTTTTTTTTTTTGACTCTCTAAGATGACCAGCCCATGCAGACAACTGAAGTGGAGAGGGAGCGCTCTAGGCTTGGCCCACATTATGCTACATACAGGGCACTAGGGACCAGTCCAGGGCTCAGTTTTCTGTCAAATGGGGAGAAGAATTCCTGTTTACTTCACAGGGGAGTTTTGAGAATCAAACGGAATCAGGAGTGCTTTGAAACCTGGATGAGTCTATAAAATGGGGGCTTGGGGGAAGGAGAGGGGGGCCAAGGGAGTCACACTATTAGGGCTCTGAAACCTCTTGCACCTAAATTTAGACTGCTGAACATGCAGGTTCCCTGGTCTACCAGTTAGCTAACTGCTTAGGACAATTACCCTAGGCCTCCCTTTGGAGGTTGCTGACCCCAATATCTAGGAGCAGAAACAAAATGAGAAGCTGGACACGGTGTAGCTACTAATACTGATGTAGAACCAGAAGGGAAACCAGAGATCTAGCAGCCTAGCCGCATCTCAGGCTCAGGCTAAAAGGACTCGAGCAACACAAGCTTGGGCACTTCCTCCTTGGAAGATTCAGGGGACCTTACAGAGCAGTCTGAAGCTCCACCATGGGTCACAAGACTTGTGTCTCAGAAACGGATTCCTCTTGGTTTCAAACTCACATTCAACACCATCCTCAATGAGAGTTCTGGAGGGTGACCAACCACCTCCCTGCCTCACATCATCATGGGGAGTCCCCGTAGTCTTCTGGGCAAAACACCCCAATGTTCAAAGTGCATCAAATCTGATAAGATTTTTACCATAGAAACATTAAAAACTTATTTTTTAAAAAAGCAGCTCTCTATAAAATGCATTGCGCTTTCTCTTCGGAAACCACAAATGATTTCCATTCATAAATCATTTTACTACATATTTTAGAGCTCTTAAGCGGTTGAAAATGGTTTTAAGATATTTCTACTTTTGAATCAGCCTCCTGTCCTTGGCCTTTTGTGGATAGCAAACTATAAATACAGGTTCAAGGAATGTAGTTCTAAAAATTCTAAATGATGGTTTTCATGCTTGTTCTCAGCTACCCAGAGAGCAGTTAACTGTTTTCCAGGAAATCTTACTTCTTGTCATGAACCATTTCATCTTGCATGCATGTTCCAGTTCAGCAGGCTACAAAGTATATTGGGCATATAAACAATGGGACCTTTCAACAAGGTGGTTTTCAAACTAGAGCTTTAAGAAAGCTTAAATGACAAACCCAAGACAGTGCTGCACATCACAGAAAGGTCTGAATTTATAGCTGTAAACTACAATCCCCACTGTGTTTCTGAGTTAGTACCCTTTAGCGGTTTTGTCTTTCATCTTTGTCTAGATCCCAAACCAAACGTCTCAGTGCCAGTGCGAGGTGATACACACAGATTCATTTTCTACAGGCGTCTTTTTCCCATCGTGGTCCTTCCATATGGAATGATTCTTTTTCAAGTATGATGATAGACATGGTATTTTATTTTGAATATTTCATTGCTCCTTCTCTGAATGCACCCATGAAAGTGATCAGAATATTCACTTGCTTTTGCTCTTCCACCATGAAAAACAAAACAAATAAAATGGTACACATTCTTCCAACTTTTCCAGAAAAAGGGAGAGTCTGTCTGTTGTCACCACCACAAGCCTGACCATGTGGAGGCCTCACTCTGATTGGAGTGTGACAGCACCCTGTAAAAGTTCTTAGTAGCACATGCTACATAAGGGACCCAGCCCTCTGGCCCAGAGGTAACGCTTGAGAACAATATTCGTATTTTGCACCTGTCCCAGGAGAACTCACGTACACCAGCTGCCTCGTTTTCCCCCACAGAGAGACAAGCTGCAGGCAGAGATCCTTCTGACTCCAGTGGATGATGCTCACGTTGCTACGGCTGGCAGCTCAGAGGTCTGCAGAGCTGTGCAAACCACCGTCCCGCATCTTGCCTCCGGGGGTGGAACTCCTCCGGGGAGGAGGAGGCTGTCCATCAGTCCACCCGAGACCGGACAACAGCCGCACCATGAAGGCTCTTCCATCCAGAGGATGAAAGAACAGAATGCGGATGCAGGAAAGACTTGTGGTAGGGAAGGGAGAGAGAGAAGGGGGCACCAACATCACTGGGTCTCGAGAACACTCCCCGTGGGCAGTGGCTCAGCCTTAGTCGTCTTCTCGGCACATGGGCAAGTTGACGAAGGTGAAGACGTTGAACTCTATCATTATGGAGAAACACAGGAAGATGACATAGAGAACCAGGACGTAGATGCCCAGTTTCCGGTCCAGTCTCCATTTGTTAAGGTGGATGCCCAGGACCTGGGGAAAGAGGGCAAGAGCTGGGCTTGGGAACTATAAAGGATTGAACTATAACCCCATCCCCAATACGTGTTGGGGTCCTGACCCCTGTGGCTGTGGCCATCCTCCCCTTTGAGAATAGGAGCTTCTTTGTTAGGTTAATGAGCCCCTATCAGGGTAGGTAAGGAGCTCTGGGTAACATAGTGGTTACGAATCCAGCTGCTAACCTCAAGGTCGGCAGTTCAGAACTACCAACTGTTACGTAAGAGAAAGATAAGGCTTTCTGTTCCGACTCCATGGCACTTAACAACAACAACAACAAATCAGGGTAGGTGGATCCTACACCACATCTTCTCTGAGTGACGGATTGGGCCACACAGACCCAGAAACAAGAAGTCTGAAGCGGAGAAGGGAGATGGCACATGAAGACTGGCAAGGCCCTAAGGAATTCTGGGGTCACAGAAGCTAAGACAAGGACCCCCCAGAGCTGACAGAGAGAGCACCTTATCCCAGAGCCATTCCCTGACTTTGGACTTCTAACCTCCTGAACTGAGAGCAAATAAAGTCCTGGATTTTGTGCTATGACAACTTGAGGAAGCTAAGACAGGGCCAAAGGAATCCAAAAGGCTTTATTTTCTTTGTCCTTGTGAAAAACTACACATGGATTATGAACCTCAAGTTCTTGTCCCTGCCAAATGTGAGAAGAGCTGAAAAGGGTGGTTAAAGCACATCTTCTGTGTGATCGAAACAACGCTGGAGGCTTGGACCTCTTAGCTGATAGACGGGGAGCCTCAGGCTAGTCCTGCTGTCCCCTTGGGGTGGACCATTTCAGTTTCAGGCTGTCCTCCTAGCCCAGACCTGCTCTGGTGGCTGTGTGCCATGGAGTCAGTTCCGACCCATAGCAACCCTGCACAGGGTTTCCAAGGCTGTAAATCTTTACGGGAGCAGAAAGCCTCATCTTTCTCCCACGGAACAGCTGGTAGTTTCAAACTGCTGACCTTGCGGTTTGCAGCCTGATTGGTAACCACTACGCTACCAGAGCTCCTTTAGGGACAGACATTTCTCTGGCTGCTCCCATGACCCCAGGGCTTAACATCCTGTTTTTCCTTCAGCAAAGTTTCCAAAGCTCCTGCTGGCCAATGTCTGGGCACATCTCCGCTCAGGCCGTTTTTTTCTCTTTGTGTGTGTGTGTTTATAGCAGTCCGGGAGTCTGGGTTGTGGTGCTGTGGGTTAATGCGCTGGACTGCAAAGTCAGTTTGAACCTCAAGGTCAGCTCACTAGTCGTTCCTCAGAAACCCTATACAGGCTCGTTACGGGTCAGAACCGAGTCAATAGCAGTTAACAGCAACAGCCACAATGACACTTCTGGTAGCACAACGGGTAAATGTTCAGCTGCTAACACAAAGATCAGTGGTTTGAACTCAAGATAGGGCAGGGCAGTGTGCTTTGATTAAGACCACAGCCCTGGAAACTCTATGGGTTGGTCTACTCTATATTGTAGCGTCGCTCGGAGCTGGAATGGACCAGCCACCAGTGGGTGAAACACAAACTCATTCTACATTCTTCCTCTCTCCCACACTGCCCTCCATGGTCTTTCTCATCCCGGAACCAAGGCTTCCTAAGATTGACTTAAAATGACCGAAGAAGATTGTATTGCTGTTGTTGTTAAGTGCCGCTGAGTCAGTTCCGACTCACAAATTCACAGTTCCGAAGGAGCGGCTAGTGAATTTGAACTGCCGACCTTGCAGTTCAAACCAAACTTGCAGTCAAGTGCTTATTGTACAGCACCATTAGAAACACCTTGGAGTCTATACAGACAGACAGACAGACCTGGATTCAAATCCTAGCTTTGCCTCTTCCAAACTCTGTGATCTCAGGCATTCACTTAACCTCAGGGGGACTTGCTTTCTTCTGCAAAATGGGAATATTAACATCACACCTCCTTCCTCAGGCTGTTGAATAAAGTCATGGGGAGGTCCCTGAGTGGTACAAACAGTTAATGTGTTTGGCTACTGAATGAAAGGTTGGTGGTTTGAGTCCAGGCTGGTACCTCAGAAGAAAGGTATGGCAGTCTACAGCTGAAGACTCAACCACTGTGCAGCATGAAGCACATTTCTCCTCCAACACACGGGGTCTCCATGAGTCCGAGTTTAGTCCATGAGACGGGTACTGGAAAGTATCTACCATAGACCCAGGCAGGTAAGAGTAAGGAGAACCAGGTATTTATAATGTCTTCTAGGGGTTGAGGAGGACTCCAGTCCCATGGCTACACTGAGCCGGCAGAAGAGGAAGGGAATGAAGTCAGCTCCTTTGTGACTGCGTAGCCACTTGGAGAAAAGGGTAGTTGTTGTTAAGTACCGTGGAGTCGGTTCCGACTCATAGTGGCCGAGGCTGTAAATCTTTACGGGAGCAGAAAGCCTCATCTTTCTCCCATGGAACAGCTGGTAGTTTCGAACTGCTGACCTTGAGGTTCACAGCCCGATTCGTACCCACTACGCTACCCAGGAGTGGTGGTGAGATGTTGGTTTGGGGGCATCTGTGGATTTACAGATTACACAGTTCTGTCCCTCATTGTGGAAGCCTGGTTCAGTGCTCAGCTGCTAATCATAAGGTGAGACCCCCCCTCCCCCCCACCCCCGCCAGCTGTTCTAAGGGAGAAAGATGAGGTTGTTTTCATAAAGACGGCTGTCTTCTGTCCTACAGGGTCATTCTGACTCAGAATCAGCTGGACAGCAGTGAGCTTGCCTCCATGGCCAGCGGGAAGGGAGAATCAGAGGCAATGGAGTGCGTGAGCCTTCAATACTGGGCCAGTAAAAACTCACAGTGAGCGCGACCGAGCCCAGCAAGAGCACCACCGAATAGACCAGACCCCGGCTGTTGATCTTCACCTGGAAAAACAAACCCACATGTTCTCAATGTCTTGACTGTGCAGTGCCCACCCGTTCTGAAAGCCTGGATGCTCCACCTAGTCACTCCTCATCCCAAACACACAAGTGCCTGGTGAGGCCTTGGAGGTTTAGATAAATGCAGATCTAAGTGTTGATTCTGCTGGCCTCAGCCCTATCATCTGAGGGAATGAGTTAGGCCAAGGCTAGATACCTGTGTAATAAAGAATCTGACTGGCTTTTGTCTCCAGCTTCTTGGATGTAACCTTTGTTGTAGTTTCGTGCTGTCGAGTTGGTTCCGATTCTATGTGTAACAGAATGAAACACTGCCTAGTCCCATAGTATTCACACAGTCCTCTGTTGTGGTGGTTGTTAAGTGCCACCGAGTTGATTCCACCTCATAGCGACCCTGTACAGAGTTTCCGAGGAGCGGCTGGTGGGTTTGAGCCACAGACCTTGTGGCTGAAAGTCCAGTGTTTATCCTACAGCACCGCACCAGAAGTGTTGCTGTTATTGTTAAGTGCAGTCGAGTCAGTTCTGACTCATAGCAACCTTGTATACGGTTTCCAAGGAGAACCTGGTGAGTTTGAACCACCTACTTTGTGGTTCAAACCGACCTTGTGGTCCAGTGCTTTCTCCCACAGTGCCATACCAGGACTTCTTGGGATTTCCCAAGTGATTGGAAAGCTTTGTTATTCACGGAGGGACCCTAGAGCCACAGCTGGTGGTCTATGCTAAGGCTAAGACTCAGGATGGGGAGCCTGGCTATGCCAAAAGGACTGGCCATGTGTTAAGAGGGTTGGAGCTTTGAGTGAAGTATCAGCCCCACTCTTGGGGAGAAAAAAGGGGCTGGAAACAGAGTTCAACCAAGTGGGCAATGATCCAATCAGTCATTAACGATGGAATGAAACTTCAATAAAAACTCTGGGCAGCTCAGGTGAGCCTCTTAAGTTGGCAATATTCCACGCACTCACTGCCCACACATCAATTATGGGATGGTAATGTGTTCCTAAGAACACAGAAGCTCCGTTCTTGGAACTCTCCCAATACGTGATTCAGCTCTGCGTGTCTCTTCCTTTCACTGGTTCTGAGCCTAAACTTTGGCTGTGTTAAAACTGTGATGGTAAAAATGCCACTTTGTAGAGTTCTAAGAGTTGTTTCAGCAAATTAGCAAACCTGAAGGAATCTATGGGACCCCCACATTATAGCCAGCTGGTTGGAAGTGGGGGTGGGGGTTGTGGCCCAGGAGATCCCTGGACTTGTGGCTGATGTTTGAACTTGTGGGCAGATGTAGCAGTTTGCAGTACTGTACCCATAATTCCGTATCTGGTCAACCTCGGGAGAGGGACGCATGGATGGGTGCTCATCAAGCACAGGACCCCACCTGGGATGCTCTGGAAACCTTGGAGAAGACTGAGTGTCAGATGCTGAGAGAAGGGGACAGAGCGTTCTCCAGAACTCTGAGTAAGCAGGACCTGGGCTGACCCCACAGTCATCCATAGAGTGCATGCATCCGCGACCATGAGAAGAACTTACCGTGGACCCATAACTAATAACCATGGTCTGCAGGCCCCACGGTATGCCGAGTCCCACGAGGATGTCAAACACGTTGCTTCCTATTGTATTAGAGACTGCCATGTCTCCCAGGCCTGGAGGGGATAAGCACACGTATCATTCATCAATAGCAGGTAGCTACAGACACACTAAGTTTTCACAACTGACCTGTGAGCGCTATTCCTTGGAAAGAAATCCTTTCTTCATGGACCCCAAGTTTCTTACACCTATTCGTGAGGTCTAAGATGAACTTGAGGAGTTTGGTAGAAATGGTTAAGTGTTGGACTACTCACCAAAAGATCCCTTGAAAGAAAGTCTGGAGATCTGCTTCTGAGAGGTCACAACCATGGAAACCCAAGAAGCACATGTCGACTTTGAAACCATGGGATCACCATGAGTTGGAACTGACTCAAATGGCTGTTTTGTTTTATTTTGAAGTCTAAAGGGGACCTTCATCATTTCTCCTCCCTGGTTTATCAGCTGATCTCTGATCTTCTCATCACATCCTCCCAAGAATTCCCAGAGAAAGAGAGTATCATCTGCAAACAGCAGATAAAGAAACAAGCTTGGAAGGAGTCCAAGATTGCAGTTTGAATGGCTCAGTCTCAGGAAGCCCAGTCAGCGTCCTTTACACCAAACCATGAGGCATGTTGGGGGACCAGTGATAACACACACAGCCCAGGCTCAGATGACAAGCTACAAGCTTTATGGCCTGCTGAGTCCCGCAGGTGAACTCTCTTTCTCCAACCAGATAAGAGAAGCATCTTAGAAGACCAGAGGCATGCTGGCTTCATTCCCCAGCTCTCCCAACCGTCTACCCTCATGGGAGCCAGGCCCTCCGGGGAACTAACAGCTCAAGGGTACTTACTCTAAGCTAGAAAACAAGCGTTTATAAATGAAATTCATGCTGCAACCTGTTCTTACCTGGCTGGCCACGTAGCCCTGATTCGACATGAATATCATCACTTGGTACATAGAAATGTTTGTGGAATGAACACGTTTGATAACAAAATGCCTGCAGCCATGAAGGCTGAGCTGCAACTCAAACCAGCACTTGAAGAAATGGCCCGTCTGTTAGACCACCTCCCCTAGAAGAGAGCCAGCCCTCCTTCCGCTTGCCAGGACACACTGCCTCCCCCGAAGACCTCACAGTTGGCTTTAGATCCTTCCTTCCTGCCATTCCTGGGCACTGTGAGGAGTGATGGCTTAGCCCTGCTGAGCGGCAGTGTCTCTGGGATCCTGGCCTGTCCATCTGCTGACATTATGAAATGTACAAGTGTGCAGCAACTGTTTTTTGAACCAGCTATTTCTACCTGGACAGGTTTCAGTGGAACTTACAGACTAAGATTAGGAAGAAAGGCCTGGCCATCTATGTGTGCAAAATCAGTCAGAGGAAACCCTATGGAGCATTGTACCCACTGTACCTGGGGTCTCCAGGAGCCTGGGGCCAACTCAAAGGCAATGACAACTTGCACCTGGTGAGCAGACAGGCACTGGCAGGACAGAATGTGTGTGTGTGTGTGTGGGGGGGGGGTTCTCTGCCCACACAGCAGCTGTGTGACCACTTGAGAAGCTCAGGACATACAGTTCTTCTCACCTGGGGGTCTTGTTAGTATCAAGGAGTTTAGGGTGGGCGGGCCATGAGCTTCAGGTGAAGCCAAAGCTGCTGACCTAGACCATCTTTAAGCAGGGAGGCTTTTGGGGGGTGGGGGTGTCCAGGATGCAGTACCTCCACATCAGAGCACACTGCACCAACCCCGGCTTTGTGGGGGCAGGCTCTGAACAGATGTTTCTCTCTCCTGGCCCTTAAGGAACGGTCTGTCCTTGAACCATGTCTGTTGCCTTCTCTGTCCATCTCGTCAACACTGCCCCGATGACAAGGGTGCACGGCTACCCCCTGACCTTGTCCTTCTTCAGTGTCCTTCCTTGTAGTCCTCGGAGATGGTGTTCTCTTACACAGTCCTGGCCACACCAAGCCCCTCCTCACCCTGCCCACTCCCAATTAACCAGGCCTTCAGGCAGCCATCTTTACTTTCGCCCACTAGCCTGGACCCTAGGGTCAGCTGTCTGAACTGCACATTCTCTCACTCCCTTGACCTTTCATGGTGTCTCCAGCCAACCCTGCTTTGGGTGCACTTGTCCTCCCTCAGCTGTGTGACTGGGACAGGGATGACAGAACCCCACCCAAGTCCATGCCATTGCACATCAGTTAGACCCTGGTGTTTCTTGCGTTCCCCTCAGAGGGTCTGTCCCCTCACTTGCTGTCCCAGCCATGTCCATTCTCTGTGAGGCTTCCTTTAGCTCTTGTTTTCTCAGGACCATGTTTTCTCTTGGAAAATAAAATGTCCTGTCCCCGTTTCCAAAGCCAGCATTTCTCTATAAGTGCTTCTCTCCTCTCCTGTCTCCTCTGAAACGTGATTCTGTTATTCTCCCTCCTCTTGCCCCAGCCCCACACTTTTAAACTTTCATCTATCGAGGAGGATCTGTCCACGCTGGGGTCTAGCCCACCTAAAAAGGGGCAGGGGATAAAGACCACACTCATTACAGCTCTCTTGTCCTGCCACCAAAGTGTATATACAGTCACCTTCTTACACTCATGCCACTTAGTAAACCCAAAAGAAAGCCACCAAACAACGCAAAATAGCTGACAGAGCGGTGAAGCACACACGCCTATAAAATGTTTGAGTGGAACTATGCAAATAAATTGCTTGTGCCCTACTAAGAGGATTGGACAGCTTGCTAATAATGTATATAAGGTACATGGAACCCTCGTGGTGGTGATGGTGAAGTGTAGTGGAGTTGGCCACCTTGCGGTACAAATCCACGTTGCAGTCCAGTACTTATCCTATAGCACCACACCAGGACTTTTGGGGGTGGGATCATGCAAATAAGGTGTATGGAACACTATAGCAGCTTAATGAGGAGATTAGTCAGTTTTGCCATCCCACTAGGCTTCAAAGTATCATTGCAGAGCAGAAATCGCACCTTACTACCACCAAGAAAGTTGGCCAATGCAATGAGTTGTGGAACCCCACAGAGAAGTAGAGTACGGGTGTCAGAGTTAATAATATGGTTGGAGGGAGGGGACATGTCTAACCTCTGCCTCACAGGGATGTGCCTTGGGCAGATGCTGATGATTCGCCCCACTTGTGGAGTTAGAGGTGGCCAGCCATTCCCAGACCATTTTTACAGTACTCTAGAACTTGGAAGAAGAATGGGGGAAGAGTTGGATGTACAGCTTGTTTCCTGTGCCTTTGCTTTTCTAGAACCAGACACTGGATCCTTGGCTACATATGCTCTGAGGTCAGGCTCTGCTCCATCTACACCGACTGTGCTTTCTGGACCCCTGTCTTTACAGAAATCTACTTGAGTAAACACTTGCAGAAGTCCAGAGTCTGGAGGGGTTTATCTTGCTGGGATCTCTTCACAGATAGAATCTAATATGTGATACTTTCCAGGTTCTTCCATATGAGGACTTAACCACCAGCCAGAGCGTCCTATGTTGGACAATCAGGCAGGGCCACGCAGCATTACTACCTTGTCTTGCCACGATTAAACTGGCCATGCAGTCTGGAACGCTCGTCCCTGCCGCCAGGAAGGTAATGCCCATGATGACGTCAGGAATCCCAAGTGTGTATCCAATAATGGTCACCTGCAGGAGAGGGTCAGAGAGATGGGAGTCACGATGGACATTCGCTCACTGAGTGATTTTAACTTGAACATGCACTGCTGTTACCAGCAGAGGCATCTAGAACATGGTTTTAATTTTAAAAACATCCCTTTCCCTGATTACATGAATAATGTGTGTTTACTGTTTCTTTTTAAGATTAGAAAATAAACTGAAAATAAAAATCACTTATTTTCTCGAGCTTCACAGGTAACCACTGTTAAATTTAAACCAGTCAGTACAGAAATTCTCAAACAGGAGCATTTAGAACCACTCTACCCCAACCGGACTTCTGGCCTCCCACTCCTCACAGACTTTTTGATTCTAGAGGCCCGAGAATTTGCATTCACAAGTTCTTAGGTCGCTGGGATGCTCAGGCAGCTGCTTTCGGAGTAGGGGGTCATATTTGGAAACTACTGCTTTATAATCTATCCAAGATTTTTCTGATGTGTTAGAAAACTGGGATCAGACGACACCATTTGTCTTTTTGCTCCATTTCATAATAGAGTAAAGGTCTTTCCATTTGAATATTCTTCCACCAGCGGGCTTGCCATGATGGACAGGTTTCAACAGAGCTTCCAGACCACGACAAGGAAGACGCAGCAGGCCATTTCTAAATGAAAAGCCACAGAAAACCTTATAAATAGCAGAGGAATATCGTCAGATATAGCTCCGGAAGATGAGCCCCTAAGGTTGGAAGGCTTAGGGAAGAGCTGTCTCCTCAAAGTAGAGTTGTCCATATTGATGTGAATGGAGCAAAGCTTTCTGGACCTTCATTTGCTTATGGGGCACATTTCATAATGAGGAGAAACAGCTGCAAACACTCAAGAGGGAAAAGAGGACGGCTGGCCCATCGACGCTCCACCCACAGACAAACCAGGCAGAGCTGATTTTTTAACAAGAGATGCCCTGAGACTTCAACACTTAAGTGCTTGGCTACTAGCTGAAAGGTCAGTGGTTCAAACCCACCAGCTGCATGGTACAATAGGAGATAGGTCTGGAGGTCTGTTTCTGAAATGATGACAGCCTAGGATACGCTATGGGACACTTCTATTCAGTCACATGGGGTCACTATGAGTTGGAATTACCTTGACAACACCCAACAACATCCAGACATCATGAAGAGTTCGGGTGATCGTGTGGCTAAGAAGTTGAAGAATGAAAGGAAGGAAGGATGTATGTCTGGGCAATCAAGCAGCACAATTTACCCAGAATTTACAGAGCAGAGGTGCCAGGCCATCCTGGCTTCCCGCCCTGGACCCTCCTGGCTGGGCCCATGTTCAGGCATCAAAAAAGGCTCTGGCTTATGGGAGTCATGGCTTCTTTTGAGTCCTCAGTCTCCCCAGCTCCACAAGGGGTGGACACTGGAATCCACTTCTAAGCTCCCTCTCTTTGAATCATTCAAGAGCCGCTCTACCCTAATCCTGGGGGGTGAGAGATGTGAAAGGTGGTGGGCAGTTAGACTTCATTGCTTCCTGGCGCCCCTATCAGGTCATAAAAAATTAATACGCAAAGTCGGCACACTGTGCTCACGTACAAATCAAAGTGACGTCAACAATCGTGACAAGGGCGCAGGATTTGGGCGGTGTTTCGTTCTGTTGTGCACCGGGTGGTTCTGAGTTGGAATCGACTCAACAGCACCCAACAACAACTGTCTTCTTTAGGAATCTCTAAGGTCAAGGCGACATGGACTGGCAAAGTGGCAGCATCAATAGGCTCTAGCGTGGCAACAATTGTGAGGTTGGCCCAGGACCGGGCAGAGTTCTGTTCTGTTGTGCATAGAGTTGCTATGAGTCGGTACCGACTCGATGGCACCTAACAACAACAACAACAGGGTCGAGGCCATTCTACACCTCCAAACTGAAGTTCAAAATTCTAGGTTAAGAGTGTCCTGGATCCTGGGACGTGGGGTCACCTCATTTGCTACAATTCTGCTTTAAGAAGTGGGGGTGGAGTTTGTTAGTCAAGGCGGTAGGCGGTGAGAGTTACTAAGTGTTTCCCTTCATTGCTAATTAATAAAACATTTAATAATGGTTTTATTTTCAGTAATTAGAGCAGAAAAATTTCACACGTTCACTTAGTTCATCTTCCTAATTATCCCACCCACCCGAATAGCATTAAGTACTTTTTAAAACCTTGTAATGTTGTTTTAGGAATGTAGTCTAGTAAGAAAAATCACTGTTTTTTTTTTTTTTAATGGAAAGACAGGCTAGCTTTGAATTCTGTTAGGAAACTAAATTTGCAAATTTCATTCATTTCAGGCACAGTTTTTTTGTTTGTTTGTTTAAGAGAAGTTTTACGAGTGTGTCAGCCAAGTTATTGGAATGGATTTAAAAGGCAGACAGACACACTATTATTACAGACTATTAACAAGAAAATTTTTAAATAGAATTAAAATATTATAGAGACCTATGGAATTATTGAAGAACTAACAAACCCACTAAAGAAATTAAATCTGAAAGATTAAATCCAGTTTTGGTGGTGGTAGTGTGCCGTGGAGTCAGTTCTGACTCATAGTGACCCTGCATAGGGTTTCCGAGGCTGTAAATCTTTATGGGAGCAGAAAGCCTCATTTTTCTCCCACAGAACAGCTGGTAGTTTTGAACTGCTGACCTTGAGGTTAGCAGCCTGACCTGTAACCACTATGCTACCAAGGCTCCTTAAATCCAGTATTAGCACCTACAATATCTCTGAAACTAAGACTTAATTGTTTCATTCCCTTCTGAGTTTCTCCCAAATACAACACTCTCAAACTCCAAAGTTGATTTAAAGGCATAAGAAACCCTGATATTAAAAATGTACAGCCAAAAGAAGAACTAGAAATATTGACTACGGCTTGACAGCTATACTTGAAAATCACTTGCTTTACTTCGACCAATCATAAGATTTCTGTGCATTGAATACTGGATATGAGGAAGGTCTATAACATTTGCCAGGAAGGGATAGTTAACCATCAGTAATATACAATATTATTCTTATCAATTTTTTTCTCATAAGTTATACATAATATATATATAATACTATAGATAATGTATATGTAATATATATTATACATAACAAAACTATAATGAAAATATTTATTATACTTGCTTATTTTACATTCAGGAATATTTCTGGGTTTGATGGCTTAGCACCCACTTGATTGTACTTAACTTATTTTTGTAATGAACAAGCAACACGAATCACATCTTTCCAACATTCATGGCAATGCAATCATAGCGCAAAATTTTAAAACCCAAAAGCCAATCAGCCAGATAAAACAAAAAACTGGAAATTGATCCTCGGGTTTACATTTGTACCGTTGATCCTCTGGTTTCATTAGGAATAACTGCTATAATGTTGTTGTTGTGCTGTTGAGTCAGTTCTGACCCATAGCAACCCTGTATAGGGTTTCCGAGGAGCGGCTGGTGAGCTTGAACTGTGTTCAAACTGACTTTGCAGTCCAGTGCATTAACTCACAGCACCACACCAGGACTCCAATTGCTATAATAACATTCTTTTCCCAATGAGTTTTGGTCAGAGACAGAGACAGGCAGAAACCGATCTTCTGATGATCTGAGTCATAGCGAAACTGGTAGTCCTTTGAGATCTGAGAGATTCATTGGGAAAATCATGGGCACAGTCTACCCCTCATCAAAATCCTGGAGAAAAAGCACTTTATTAATTTTGGGGAATGAGAATGAACACTGACTAAAATATGATTTGTTGAAATCTAAAACCACCTGGGAAACTGGTCCAAGGAACCAAGAGAACCCAATGGTGGCAGATGAAAATGAACTTTGCATTGGGCAGATGAACTGCATCATTTTATGAAATAGCTTTGAGTAAAAAAAGTAGAATGCTTCATTATGTTTGCTCAGAAACTAACCCAAAGATTACAGAGTCTTACACCATTTAGAGACACAAAGTGGTCACCCGAGGTGTGGGGTTTCAGTAAGTTAGTCCTCAGAGGAAAGGGCACCATGGCTCTGGCAGCATATACAAAGGAACAATGCTTTGGAGAGGAGGTAGGGGGCACTCTATGGTTGGCCTGTGGATAGAGGAGGGTCCCAGCTTGAGGTAGGATCTTTAACTCTAAGGCTTATCTTCCCCCACTCATGCCTCCATCTTCATAAATGGTCATTTCAATCTAGAAAACTCCAAGTTCTCTCTCAATGGGATCTGTCAGGAGGAGGCCTTGGGGAGCATATATCTTCTCATTCTGCTCTTGGCTGTATTTGGAGACTTTCTTCAGAACCTTCTCATAATGAGTCTCCATGCATAAAAAGATGGTGGATGCTATTAAACAAGCAAACAGGCTTCAAGATCTGACTGCCCCCCTCCAAGCTTTTCTGTTTCTGCATAATGGTTATTTAGAGTTCAAACAGTTTCTTTAAACTGTTGTTTATCAATCTGGTTCTCCAGCTCCGCGGGGAACTTGGTCTGGAACTGGTAGCATTTGCCATTGCTGTAGTCTCGCTGAAGGAAGACCTTTCCAGACACCAGCACCTGGGTCATCTCCAATGCCTTCTAGGTGCTGCTGTGCCGTCTCAATGCACAGTTGGTTTGTAGAAAATGTCTTCGATTGTCATCCTTTTCGAGGAGAGAGGGGGAGCTTGGGTAGTAGTTTCAGCTCCTCCCTAGCACACACGCGCGCGCACACACACACACACACACACACACACACACACGGCGTCTCCACTCATCCATCACCCAACAAGCATGAAGCAGCGCTGGTGGGATCTCCCGGTGAGGACAGTGACATTTTACAGTGAATGTACAGTGGCCCAGCTGCAAGCTCAGACCATAAAGCCTGACCAGAGAGGACGTGAGATCTGCTTGGAGTAGAGTGTGTTGCACGCCATAGTGAATCTGGCCCAGGAAAGGTCCGGTGCGAAATGCTTCACTGCTCAATGGTCAAATTGTGTGCTTTTCCATGAGGTTCTACGGCTGCTACCAGATAAATAACAAAAACAAAACCAGTTGCCACCAAATGGATTCTGACTCACGATAACAGAGAAGAACAGATCCAGTGCATGTGCCAGGCCTCTCTTCCAAAGTGCTTCTGGGTAGGTTCAAACCACCAACCTTTAGGTTAACAGAGCAAACCATTTTGCACTACACCCAGGGACCTTATCAGCTATTGGCTGAAGTAAGTGTCTGTAACTGTTGTGTGATTGGGTGCCATCGAGTTGGTTCCGCCCCATAGCAACCCTATGTACAAGAGAATTAACACTACCAGGTCCCTGCACTATCCTCACAATGTAATTGTTGTTGTTGTTGTTCAGTGCTGTTGAGTCGATTCCAACACATAGCGCCCCTGTATAGGGTTTCCAAGGAGCAGCTGATGAATTTGAATCACTGACGTTGCAGTTCAAATGGCTTTGCAGTCTGGCATTAACCCACAGCACCACACCAGGACTCCATAATGTAATTAGGCTTGGAGAAATGTGGACAGATCAAATCTGTTTTGGAATAATAGGAATGTGGGGGGCTGGCAGGGATGGTGATGAAGTCTTTCCAGAAAGGTCTTGGATATTATACATTCCCCAAGTGCCCAGTTCAGCTGAGCCAAGGAAAAGGTATCCAGGTGTGTGGTCCTGGGGATGTGGCAGATGTTTGGGCTGGGAGGCTCATCATGGTTCTGGCCGTCCTGAGTCATATCATGTATTCTATTAATTAAGGAACAACCTTGTGCTGAGCCCTGGGACTCCTTTTGGGAAGAACATTGCAGGGGGTGGGGTAGAGGTGGGGGTGGAGGCTGGGAACAGGTTCCTGCTTAGCCTGAGAAAGTGACCTAGCTACACCTGCTTCTCCCTGAATCTCCCACTTTCCTGGAGCAAAACAGCTCTCCTATGCTATTCAGAAAGTCCCTGGGTGGTTCAGAACTCAACTACTTTCAGAGAGGCTGGTGGTTTGAACTCGTCTAGGTGCCCTGGAAGAGAGGCCTGAAAACCTGCTTCTGAAAAGTCATGAAAACTTCACAGAGCGGTTCTACTCTGAGTCACATGGGGTTGTCATGAGTCAGGATCAATGAGATGGCCACTGGGACGGAAGCTACTCACAGCCCTGACAGCGCTGGTCTGGGTTCACAAACACACAGCTTTCTGCGAGGGAGAGGGAAAGGGTCACTGAGGCTGGGTGGAGACAGTAATCTTTCTAAGAAGCACTGGCCATCCCATTCATTGGGGGAACCAGGTTCAGGGAAGCTGAGTTATCTGTCCGTTTGTCTCACAGATGCTAGAGTTAAGGTTTTTACATCTGTTCCTCTCTGGCCCTTCTTTTCCCACTAAGCAGCTATTGATCCTCTGGGATTAGTAAGAAAAGGTGGCCCTTGTGCCTACTGGCACTGCCAAAGCACACCACACCACACCATTGCCACCGAGTCGATTCCGACACTTAGTGCCCATACCCACGGGGTAGAACTGCTCTGTGGGGGTTCCAAGGCTGCATTCTTTATGGAAACAGGCAGCAACACGTTCCTCCCATGGACCGGTTCACTCAGTGCTTAACCGCTGTGCTACCAGGGCTCCTCCACTGGTCCCAATTCCTCTAGAGTCAAAAGTCCCCTGCCTGCTCTGTTAGGAGAGTGAAGTGACAACCGGTAACCAGGGTGGGGTCAGGGGCTTACAGGTGAGCTTCCTGATGCAAATGCATCCGTAGTGTAACCACCAGGACCCTGGGGTGCAGAGGCTACACGCTCTGCTCTGCTGCTAGCAGATAGGTCGACAGTTCTACTCTGTCACATAGAGTTGATCTGAGTTGGATCGACTCAACAACACACAATAATAACACCAATTCCCCTCTCCTGGCTCTGGGTTCCCCACTGGGAAGGAGGAAGAGGAAGTGGGGGCCTCACAATGTGGTGCGTAATGAAAGCCAGGGGCCTGACCCAGGCTCAGTAAGTTTGTACCAGGGACTGCAGGAGATACGCCAAGTCTCTCTGTCTGCAAAACATTTCAGTCCAAATGGTCTCCAAGAATTCCAATAACAAATGAAATGTCAATATAATGTCATGGTTAGGGTCATGGCCACTGGAGACCAATACTTGATTTTGAATCCCAATCTGAGGATTCACTGAAAGTGTAATGTTGTGCAAATGACTTAATCTCATGTCTCGGTTTAGTGGGTATGATCGAAATGCCTACTAATAGGCTGTGCTGAGAACTACAAGTGTTTCTCTGAAGTGCTTCAGCCTGGTCCACAGACTAGGGGGAGGAGCCTGCCTTGTCGAGGGGGCCATCAGGGTCATCCATGGACTCTGGGCTCCTCTTTCCACATACCAGGGGGTCTGGAAATGCAGGGGACCTTGTGATCACCCCTCGTTATAGAACATTCTTCAGAGTGTCAGACTCAGGTCTCGACTCCCCATCCATGTCACCATGCTGAGGTCATGCTGCATCCTAGTGCCTCACACAGCACCAGGTGCCTGGGCCGACACATCTCCCAGTATAGCAGAGTGACTTGCCCAGAGATGGCACGAAAAGTGCCTGAGGTTGCTCTGGAACCCAGTTCTCTGCTTGGCAGACACCGGCAGGACTGTCTGTACAGTCTGGCCCTTACTTTCCCCACTCACCAGCCACACCATCAGGTAGGAGAACACAGCGATCCACAGCGTGGCGGTGATGAAGGTGATCATGAAGAACTTCTCCCAGGAGGGCTTGCTGCAGTTGGGGATGGTGATGCACAGGAGGAAGATGAGCGGCCAGGTGAATACCCACTTGACTTTGTCCCCTTTTGCTTCTGCAGAGGGATGAGGCAGAGCAAGAAGGGAGAGGGAGGGAAACACACTAGGTCAACACACCTGCCAGTCAGCCTGGAGACTCATTCCCTCCAGCCAATTCAGAGAGCACCATCAAGAAGACCCCAAGCAACTCATGTCACAAGGAGCTCAGGTAGCGTAGTGGTTACGAATCAGGCTGCTAACCTCAGGGTCAGCAGTTCAAAACTACCAGCTGTTCAGTGGGAGAAAGATGATGCTGTACAGGGTTGCTATGAGTCAGAACTGACTCCACGGCACATAACAACAACAACAACAGCATCCCCAGAAGGGATCCTAGGGAAATGACTCAGAGTTTGTTGACTGAATCATTTCAATCATTCCATCTCCTTCATCGTTGAGACCGAGCAGGGAAGGACATGCCCAGGAGATCTGGGAGAGGGGGGATACAGAAGATGGTTGGGCTTTGGAATCAGATACACCTGGGGTGGAAGTCAAATAACCTGGATGAGCTAGCCCCTAAACGTCGCTTCTACCTCTTCTGATAGCAGTTTTGTATCAGTAACAACAACAAGGGAACAATACTCAACATGTTGAATATTTGCTATGTGTAGCTCGCACAGGGTAAAGCATTTTTGCATTTCATTCATTTTCTCACCCATGAAATAAATGGGAATGTGACTTCTTTCTTTCTTGGCTGCAAGCATGGCTGTTACAATAGACATAAAACTCCCAGCACACAGAACCTGGCACACACTAGGGGCTCTGGGCATGTCAGCTCCTTTGCTTTAATGTCACTATATTCAAAGCATGTGGCAGATGCAAGACTCTAATGGGGGTGTCTTGGTGGGCAGTCCAGACCTCACTGGCCCTTACCAAGAGACTCTACAAACAGCTCAGCCAAGGACCTCAGCAAGGTCCCGAGTGCAGGCATGCACAGGCAGGCTCCAAACCAGCCTGCTGGTGGTGGCTGTGAACATGAGCTTCTGAAACGTCTCTCCTCCGTGAAAGCAATGAGAACCATGGCAGTGTGGCCAGCAACAGCTTCTGCAGAGTTCAGGAAGTTAACCATAGGCTCCTGAGCGTGCAGCCCTCCTGAGGGTGTTCAGTCAAGAAAATCAGTGCATTCTCAATATGAATCATGGTCTTTGTGGAATATTAACGTGTGCTATCTTTATCCCCTTCTCATCAGCATCCTGGGAGCCCTGAAAACCAATAGCCAATAAGCAGGAAAAGCAACAGCCTGGTAGCCACAGGGTAGAATATAACAGAGCTCCTCCAAGCCCAGTCCCAAAGAGCTGCTATTAATTGACCTGTTTGTGGTTTCCCAGGGGTCATGGTGTGGTGCTGGACTGCTAACTGCAAGGTCCCTGGTTCAAACCCACCAGCTGCTTCTTGGAAACCCTATCCAGGGTCGCTGTGAGTCAGAACCGGCTCGGTGGCCCTTCACAACAACTATAGAAGACTTTACTTGCAAGGCTGTTTTAATTTCGTCAGACTCCCAGTTTCTTCCCAGTGAACAGGCTTTCTTTTGAGGGCATTTGTTAAAAATAATCGGATCTACTTGTTGAACCTCATTCTGTCTAAGGCTGTGGACAGTAGGGCAAACGATCGGCTGACCAAAAAAAAGCTTAAAATGAGAAGAGACGTTCCTATGGGGCTGGCAGATAAGTGAGAAGGAGATGGGAGATCAAATATCCATACAGGTTTTGAAAAGTTGCAATAAACCAAACCCACTGCCACTGAATCAATTCCAATCCCTAGTGACCCTTATAGGATATTATAGAACAGCCCCCATAGGGTTCCCAAGGCTGCAACTCTTTACGGATGCAGACTGCCACATGTGTCTCCCTTGGAGCAGCTGGTGGGTTCCAATCAGTTAAGCACTTTAATGACTATGCCACCAGGGTGCCTTTGAAAGTTGCAATATGTCTCCTGAGCCCATGGACAAGGACACAGTCACGGAGTGCACATCTAGCTACTATGAAGTGATGGGAGATGCACAAGAACACCCACACTTGCATTTGACCTATCTTCAATGGCTTGATGATAACAACTTGACTCAAGGAATATAGAGAAATTTGATAAAGAAACAAGTGTAAATTGCTACAATTTGATTAACTTGAACATACTTATGAATGTAGTAGCTTAAAATAATTGAGAAGGAAAGAGTCTTCACATCAAGGATCAAACCTATCCCCTCTGTACACAGGGTTGGTAAGGGATGGGCAACTTAGACATTGACTATCTAAAATAGGGGCTATAAACTGGCTGGCTTACAAGGTTTCAAGAGGGAGTTTAGTTTTAGAGTGTGCAGGGGAAGGTAGAATCCCCACCGAATAGTTTTCATCTTGTCTAGATGGGTCTGGTGAAAGGATATGGGGATAAGATTCTTATGATTCAATGAGTAATCGTTACCATGATTAATTGCGATTGTCACAACTGTAAAGGTAGAAGTTTTATAACATAAAGGGGGGGAGTAGTTAATCTTACAGTCCAGGAACAGAGGACCCTAGGACCATCAAGGGAGAAGAGTATGAGCGGAATGTGGGACCTTATCCAGAGAAGCAGTGACACCAGAGATGGAGGCAGAGATGACGACATGGAGAGTGGGAGCAGCTCTAGACTCATGAAAAGAGAAAGGCTGTGTGCTGGTGGCCAGGAGGCTGGCTTGTAGAATGTGCCCTTTGGTTGATTAAATCATTATATATTCCTGTGTGTTTTTGTATACATTCAAAAAAAAAAAAAGCCCAAAGGGAATAGAAGCAAATACTGTTGAATTGTAATCATTGTAATGAAACGAAATACGATAGGATGAGTGTAAAACCGATGTTCTCCCATGTAAACTGTAAACTTATCACTCAATTCACAATAATAATAAAAAAGTTGAAATATGTTCCTGAAAGTCTAAAAGGCCATGTATGTACATGTAGGCCTGTGTATATGACCAAGACTGGAAAGACCAGAGAAGGTGTTAAACTCACCACTAGTTGATCTTGAGGCTCTGTGCAAGTAGGGAGTTGTAAAACACTAGGTTAAGTGTTGAAGGTATGCCCCAACACATGCACACAGAGCCCCCCAGTAAAGACAGGGAGATATATTGGAATCAGGAACACAAGGAAATCTCCATTAAATCACCTGACTACTAAGATAACCCATGAAGTCTCAGTAGCTGCACATGACAAAGAAGGCACGCTTTTAAGAACTGATGCAGACAGCTGAAGATAAAGATGTCTGATACCGGGAACAAGCACAAATTACTACAACTTGATGAACTAGACCTTTGCTTACGGATGAAGTTACCCAAAATTCAATTCTTCATAACAAGGATCAAGCCTTCCTCCACAGTACACTAGGTTGATAGGGATGGGCAACTTAGACTTTGGCTCTTTGGTAGCATAGTGGTCACGAATCGGGCTGTGAACCACAAGGTCAGCAGTTCGAAACTACCAGCTGTTCCGCGGGAGAAAGATGAGGCTTTCTGCTCCCGTAAAGATTTACAGCCTCGGAAACCCTGTACAAGGTCACTATGAGTCGGAACCGACTCCACAGCACATAACAACAACAACAACTCCATAGAATAAGGAGCTCTAGTAGCATACTGGTTACGAATCAGGCTGCGAACCGCAGGGTCAGCAGTTCAAAACTACCAGCTGCTCTGCGGGAGAAAGATGAGGCTTTCTGCTCCTGTAAAGATTTACAGCCTCGGAAACCCTGTACAGGGTCGCTATGAGTCGGAACTGACTCCATGGCACATAACAACCGGCACATAACAACAACAACAAAGACATGAAGGAGTCCTGGTGTGGCGCTGTGGGTTAATGTACCAGACTGCAAAGACGCTTGAACTGCAAGGTCGGTGGTTTAAGCTCACCAGCTGCTCCTTGGAAACCCTATGCAGGGTCGCTATGGGTTGGAACCGACTCGACGGCACTGTACAACAACAACAAAGACATGAAGTGGCTGGCTTATAAGCGTTCATGAGGGTTCTTAGTGTCAGAACAAGAGGGGAAACGATAGAATCTCTTCTGAATAGTTTTCCTCTTGTCTAGATAGGTCTGGTGATGAGGGGAATAGGACTTTATGATTCAATTGTGAGTAACTGTTATCAGGACTAATGGCGATGTGGTCACAACTGTAAATGTAGAAGAGGTGTTACTAAAAGAGGGGAGCAGTTAGTCTGTCATTTCAGGAGCAGAGGATCCTAGGACCATCAAGAGGGTAAGAACATGAGTGGAGGGAGGGATCCTAACTAGAAAAGCAGAGACAGACAGAGCAGCAGAGCCCCGGATTGAGAAAGGCAGAGAGTCTGTAGGCAGAAGGCTGGCTTGCAAAATGTGCCCTTTGGACATTTAAATGAATATATATTTCAATGTAGTATGTGTACATCAAAAAAAGGTAATAGAGGTAAATACTGTTAGCTCATGGTACATGGAAAGGATTGTAATTATTGCAATGATTTGTTGAATTTGTAAAACTGATGATCTGCCCTGCAAACCTCACTCAATAAAAGCTTCTTAAAAAATAAAAAAGCAAAAACAGAATTGATGCAGAAAAGTAGCTAAACAAACAAATAATAACAAACAGCAAAAACAACACACCCTCAGGAAAGAATTACCACATCATATTCTTGAAAATGTCCACTTTTCAACAAAATTAGGAAATGAAGAAACAAGAAAGTTTAGGGAAAAAATAGTCAATGGAAACACAGTCCCTGAAGAAGGTCAGATGTTGGATTTATTAGACAAAGATTTAAAGTCAGTTCTTTAAAAACATTTTCAAATACCTAAAGGAAACCACGTTAAAAACACACACAAAAGGAAATGAGAATGGTGTCAAATAAAGAATGCGAATAAACAGAAGTGGTAAGAAGAGACCCAGTAAATTCTAGAGCTGAAAAGAACAGTAACAGAATGAAACTTCACTAAAGGGGCTCAACAGCAGATTTAAGGAGGCAGACGGGGAGAAAAATCAGCAAACTTGAAGCTAGGTCATTTGAGATTATTCATTCTGATGAACAAAA